AGACTGGATGTTTAAGAAACCACACTTTTCCTGCGTGAAGATATTACTTACCATCACACAAAGTGTATATGGTCTTTAAAATGACTTTTCAGAGGGGCTTACTTTATCGAGAGCAAAGAATGTGAAACGCCCTATTCCACTGCATGCTTCATGATGTCCTAACATATATATAGCCCGATTGACACGAGAGCGTATAATGAAGAATGTCATAGGGTGCTGAATCGATGGGAGCTGCATAGGCCTAAACTCCTCATCACAAGGAGTGGGTCTAATGTGGGGTGGGGAAATCGTTGAGCGATACACAAACTGTAACAGTGTCTACAAACCTGACACACCGTGTCACTCTCTCTCGAACTATTCAAACAAATATACTGTGAGTGCAGCACTGCAATTTTGGGGTCGATTGTAAACGTAGGCCTACAGGTAACACCCGCATTGTGGCGCTCACACATTACGCAACTGTTTCCCTCTGCACAAAAAAGAGAAACAGGTCAGCCATCATTACCCCTGTTACACATCATAAAGTCATTAACTGAGTTGGAGACAAACCGCTAATGTACACAAGCGAGCTTTGGTGTCTCCGAGGACCAGACACGATCGTAAACCGCGACGTGTTGACAGGCGTTACCCACCCATTAATGTGGCTTTGTAGCAATGCAGGAGACTGGCAGTGATTTCCCAGTCGGAAAAAAACTGTACACATGTACTATCTTACTATCCAGGGGCTCAACTGAGCACATACTTAGGTATCGCAATCAGTGTATCAAAACTGACATCAACCACAGATCACACACAAACATTACAAAACATTCCAACACATCAGCGAGGAGAACCCCCGTCTATAAAGCTGTATATTAATTCAAATAATAAGAAAGATGATGACTTCTTCTTTCCCCTCCATACAAACTTTAATTCAATAATATTGAAATTATCTTAGATTGTCTTTTTAAAGAAACGAAAGTAAACCGATTATTGTCGGACATTTGCTTGCACAAACAGGTTTCCCTTGATACTTTCTTAGCTACCAATTCCCTTCTTGTCAAGAATAAAAATCTGGAAAACAAGGAAAATTCATGGTAGCGGCCAAACTCCGCCAAAACATGAAAAATATGTAATCACACCCGGGGCCTATTCAGCTATAAATTTTGAAACAAATGGAGGTGAAATTTTACAGCAAATATAAGTGGAGATACAGAAAGCGCAGTAGTGTGTCCAGCAGATAGTGTGTCCGGAAATTGGCAGTAATTGGAACAAACAATAGCGGTCACTGTTCATTACTGTCTCGTAACCGGTTAGAATTTTGTCTGTTATTTACCATATACATGCAGTAATACTATGTTGGCTTAGAATAAATGTCGGTGTTGTGTAATGAAGTAGCCCTAAATTGAAGACCAGATTCCTGGACCACCTTCTTCCTTCCACCACTACACGACTAGGAGGCAGTTTCCCTAGCAACCTCTCCCTTTGGTAGTGACCCAATTCAAGGGAAATTCTCCGCCAGGCCATGGCGTGTGAAACAACCCCTTTAAATTCTTTAGAAAAGAGTGGTCTGTGTGGATCAATAAAATGTGAAATTATGTCAATATACAGCCCAAGATCATCTCTACAGATTTGGGGCCATCCGTATGGGGGGCGAAGCAGACAAAAAACGTGCTTTAAAATTTGCCTGAAAAGCCTGATGAAGGTGAGGGAAGTCATTTGAGAAATGGCTGCTGACTTTGAACTTTAAAGCTTGTACTAGTTCTGTTCACCCCTATACCGATACCACACCAACTTGTTACCATTGTACGTGTATATCCCGACAAGGACACTGTAAATGCATTGCCAGTTGACATATGTGTACGTGTAGTTCTGATCGTATTCTTCTGAATCTGTTACCACTATGCAGAGGTTGAAAAAGCTTAATCACTCCTCATCTTTTGGTATACATGTACATGTACTTTCCATCCTTCAGAGCCCTTTATACCATCTACATTATAACAGTTATTCCAATAGCATTTATCACTGTAGATCACTTTATCGTTTATTACTATACCTTGACATTTCTTGTCATGTTCCTGCCTATACAAATGACTAAAATAAAGGAACCACGGGCAAGGATCTGTTTTAACTGCCTGTTTTGTTTCCGCATTTGTCTTGGAAAGACAGTTTCTTTAGGAATTGTACATGTAATTACCTGTGACAAATAACTATTTGATGGCTGACTTGAGTTCACTCATTGATTAACGATGTGCAGAGAATGTTTGGAGTTTTCACACACAAAGCAGCATGCGGATGAAAGTTAACTGGGATCATGTCGATGAAGTAGGACTTAATTTGTGAAGACTTGACAAGTCCTTGACAACTTAACACTAATAAAATGAATAGTAACAATATAAATTGCAAAATGAAACGGGCAAAATATTAACAAAACTTGTGCGAAATGTAAAAAAACCGCCACTGATTTTTAATTTTATGCCGACTTGAGGGCGAAAGTAACCAATATTTGTCGAAGGTCATCTGGACTCTTAATTCACAAAGCGAAAATCCAATGTGACCAGTGAGCATGTTTTTCTGTAGTAGTTTGATACCACATATGCACATCTTCTATAAAACTGAGAGTTTTGTGCTTCTTTTTTACGAACCCTAAACAGGGTTCATTTTGAAGCGAAGCATGTCCATTCAGATTGATCTCTGCCCTAATGGCATTAATAGGCGGAGCCTGTTAAAAAATGACATGTATTCATTACTCCTTGTTGTCACTAGCTCACAAATATAGTGTGTATCAAAATTTCACATGGAGATTTTTCCGCAGAGCTGCGAAAATTTCCACTAGAGCCAGAGTTGGCCATTGGGATTGTGTGTAAATGTCTCAGCCACGTGCTGGTAACGGACTATTGAGACAGACAAGCCAGGGCCTGTTTGATCAATGTTCGCTCTCGCCGATAGTCTAGACAGCTGACTGAATGGTACCAATGTGGGTGGGGGTGGTGGTTGTGTGTGTGGGTGGGCGGATGCATGAGGGGGGTGTCGATTGATTCACTGTGGTTTGGCCATTGAGGGCCCCCTTGACTTGAAAGACAAGAGTAATGGGGTTATGCGTGATTGACGTCCAGGGTCCACCAACTTAAACAATAGGATGGAATCAGTCGCAGGGTATTCGTGGTGAAGGACAGCAACAGGTGGAAAAACTTTTCCTACAACGAACACCAAAGGTCATGTGGCACTGGTTGTGACGGAAAAAACTGAAAGAGACATTTGCCACTGCCGAATCTCTCAACACATCGGACGCATCAGTATATTAAGTAATATCACCATCATTTATTCTGCGTGTATCTGACGATAATGACGATGAGGTCGATATCGATGTCGATGATGGTTCAATCTGCACAAAGAGAATTAACATCTAATCACTAAACATAACTTAAACTCAACTTAATAAGCAACAGTTAAGCTATGCGTAATTTAAATCGAATTACTTGTGGCAAGGTGTAAATTCTCATACGGCAATTTCCAATTTTTTCATTATCATTGAAAGGGAATAAAGAACACTTACGACATTGAGCTTATCCAAGAAAAAAAATGGCAAATTCCCTTAGTCAACTTTGAAGCTTCAGTAGCTGACGTGGCGGATGACAAGGTGATTGTAGTATAACCATGGAGGTATAAGGAGGTAGAACATTATACGTGTATATATGAGAGAAAACCTACCACAAGTGAATTATGATATTGAATCTATTAAGTACTTGTAAAGGTATTTAGGTCAACTGGATAGAGTCACCCGGGTTAGGTCTACGGAGGGCCATACGTAGGGTCAAAGGGCAATTTCGTACTGGCAAACCACATGTTCGTCAATTTCGTGCAAAGGGTTCCGCATATACAATACATGTACTTGAATTGAGTTAAGTTGACAAACCTTATTTAGATGGAAGTATCAGTAAACAACAACAACAACAACCAGGCAATCTAACTTTACACTGGTCTCATAATGTACCTTTGTTCTTGTTATTATATGAAGACTGCAAGAACTAACTCCTTATTGCCTGCCTGCAATGTGGAGATATAGCCATGTAATTCAATCATACATCCAAATTAAATTAAATGAAAAAAACCTGTGCATTTTGTGTTCCACGGATCGACATTTTCTTAAAAATAGACCGTGTTTGAATAGAGGAAGGAAAAGACAGTTACTCATCGATCACGTTTTGTTCCACATCACGGCAGCAGTTTCATTTGAAGTTGCCATAAGCCCACAAACCGATTAAAGAATAAAGGAACGTAAAACAAAACTTGCTTTGAATTCCAAGCTCACTTGAATATTCATTGTGATCAATTAAACCAATATTGTAAGCCATGGAAGAGTATGAAATCTGACAGCATGACAACAGCATCCGGTCAGGCCCAACAAGTACCATGTCGATGTGTTTTTTCAATCCGGGGGCAGAATTCTTTCAATAAAAAGCTATTGTTGGTTTTGTCGTCACTAAGACATAAGTGATATACTCTTCAACCGCATGACATGTTTAGTGTGTTCGAAAAGGTATTCCAACGAAAAGGGAAAACGGCGAAATGTCACTGTTTGTCCAGAACACCCCCCCCCGGACCATTAACCCGACTTTGCCTTATGAAGAAACCTGTCTCACCTTGTGCTGCCCTCCAATAGTTCAACAAGTAGGTACGGGCGCGGGTTTTCCGTCGAAAAATGGTGGACATGGGAGATCCGCGCGGCGAAGGTCAACTGGTGCAACCATGGTGGCCTTAACTATGAATGTAATTGAACAGGAAAAACTGTTTGCGGTACACGGCTTACGTGAGCGTTAAACAGTGCTTTCCCACTGTATGTTATCTTATTTTTTAAATTTTCACGGCGCATTGGTCAGCATATTAAAGGTAGAATAGCGCGTTTTACAAGTTGTACTGGTTAGGAATACCAACCAAAAAGATTAGTGTGTAATATCTACGGCATTCCATTAATTCAATCCAAATCCGTAAGACGTATATTTTCGTATGCTCATTAAGTTTATTCTCTTGTTCGCTTAATCGCTTTGTACAATACATTATTTACAAGACTATAACCATTATCAATAAACTTCTGCAAAGAAATAATAATTAAGGAAGTTACTTTCAAATTTGTAAAACGGATGTGCATACCCTTTTTCAAATACTTTGGGATGAAAAAAAAAGAAATGGGCTGAATAGGCCGCTGCTTTCAAAACAGCCCTTACGACATAAAACTTTACAGGGCTCGGGAACACCACGATCAACATGGAGACGGATGGGACAGCCAAGACCCACCAACCATGACATGACAATACCCAAACAAATTACAAAAATTATACTATTTGCTAACCAATAAAAGTCACTGCAGACGTCCATAAACAATGACAACAGAAGAGGAACATCAATAGTATATCTTTATAACGGAGGAACAAGACCTACCATTCCAAGGTATACACTGTATATGTTTCGAGTAGAGCTAAGCCAGTCTCTTGGTAGGCTATCGCAATTTCAGAGTCAGTTTTCGGACTTTCAATTTGTCAACTCTTCCCTACCCCCAATTGACCCCATTCACCACGACACAGGAGTTGTTATCAGTACATTATTAGTGTGCAGTGTCCCAATTCAAAGGAAAATTCTCCGCCTGGTCGAGAGATTCTTTGTAAAAGAGGGGTCTGTTTGGACCAAGAACTGGTGCACCAGTGGGATTGTGGGATTGTGTCCGTGTGGCCCAGGATCATCTCTGTAGGTTCACTTTTCTGATCACCTTTCCATTCAAAACTCCTTTTCGTACTAGAAGAGGATGTATTCAAGGTGAAATCCAGTACTGGTTTTAGCCCGTGGTTTCAAAAGTAAGATAAACATTTCTTCATTAAAATATAAAATGTGCCGCACGTGTATACTCGTGCATACAGCATTAGCTGTGGTAATTTCTTTTTTTCACGTGCTTTGCTATTTGTAGGCTACAGTTCTAGGTCAACAACCCCATGTTACTACCAATGAAATTTTCTACACATGAACTTCCATTGCAATTCATATCTTAATGTTGTGTTCTTTTTGCGTTCAACATGAACATAGCCAACACGGCAGATCTTTATAGTAACTAAGACGGGAAATTGATCAATTGATACAGAGCAATTTAGACCTAAGGGTGGAACGATTCTTTACGTGAAATGCTGCACTTTGTATTTGGTTCAAGCTGGCTTAATTCTAGTGTTTTTAACGCTATATCTGAAGGTTGTTTTGTTTTGGACATAGCCAATCGTCTTTAGTCCTGAAGGGTGTCGTGAAGGGTCTCCAACCCAAACAAATATACTCTGTCGTCAAAGACATCATGCTGGAAGGTATTTTCCCTGAACTCTATCTGTTGGTTGAAGTGCACCAGCTGATCCTCTGATAACGTGCACACGGTGTGTGGAACTACTAGCCCAACGTCGCTATCAGCATTATCACCGGCAGGTAGTGGGGCACTTGGGTCAATACCAAGGTCTCTAGATTCTTCCTGTTTAACGAAAGGCAAGAAAAACTATCGAAAGATAAATTCTCAATGTGGAATAATAGGTACGAGCTTGTGACATCGTTTCAGTAAACCCCAGAAAATTTTAACCAGCTCGAGAAAATCTTTTTAAAAACGCCCCTACCCCGAGAAATGGTCATTTGACTGGTGGTATGGAGGAAGGAATATTGTCATGTGATACCTCATTCATGATTTCAAAGTGTTCTCTGCCAAGTGTTGATCCTCTTCTTGTATGTAGACCCGAAACAAACAACTGTAGTGGTGTTTTGTTACCCGCTGTCCGTATCCTGTGATTGTTCCACATGTCTTTAAAGCATGTGATACAGTGATTGATGCGAGGAAGGAAGACACTGTGCAGGCAGAACAAATGCATTTCATTATCTGGATCTAGGATGCCTCTTGCCTCGAAGCTTCTGAACAGCCTACAGAAACTGCTCGTAACCTGTTCGTGTAGGTCTCGCCACAGACGTTCGATGCGTGCATTGTGCACACTTCGACCAGTTATGAAGGAGCCTCGCCCAGGTCCTCGTAGGGGATGTTGCAACATAAACGCGGCCACCTGCGTATTTTCAACCCCATGGTCCGATCGAACTCTAGAAGGCAATCCCCAATTCGAAACAGCGTCAGTGAAGAGTTGTAAAACAGTTGCAGCCTTGTTATTCGTACTACATTTCAAGTACACCACAGCTCTGCTGAATCCATCGATTCCTCCATGGGTTACGAGTCGCCATCTTTTAAACGAGGAAAGAATGATTTACTCAGCGACAACGAATCGGCAGAAACGAATTGAACATGAAACCAACAACACAGTATGAGGCCGATTGTGAAATGATTTATGTGATTTTCCCTGTTAGTATAAGAAAGTAGTCACTGGATGGCTTTATTTTTGCTGTTCCACTTTATGAATCTCATTTGTTCCTCCATAATTTCGTTAGTGGTGATTCTTTCCAGTATTACCTAACGCGTTATACCATGAATAACTACAATTTGGACCATTCATCGCACAGTTTGTGGTATGTCATCTCATTGGGATATAAACGATCTGAATATACCATTGGACTAAAAAGCTTACATAGGCCTATCTTGATTTTATTATAAGCACGAGTTTGCACAACAGTGTCAACTCATCCGTCTTTCTATTCCGATAAAAAACATCTTTTTCCCCTTATTTCCATCACTTATTACATAACCACAGTGGTTGCCTCGTTCTTTTGAAAAAAAAAAACCTCGGAAACGCGTGGAGTTTCAAAGATTTTAGCACCTCGTGGCGTTAGGAAAAAAGAGGACTCGGTATCAACATCTTTCACATTTCCAAGGTCGGTAGGATGACGAGATCGTCATCATATTTCTCCAGGCCCTTCGCCTTTTTACACTTTCCATGCATTATCTTAAAGTTGTTACCTGGTCCTGAATTGTAATTGTCGGTTACAGGTTCATGTTGGTGTGCTGAATAATTTCATTCTCACCTTATGAGTTTGTGATGACCATCGATGTGCCAAAGTGAAAGTGGAGATTCAACGGAGTAATGTCGCCTGTGGACGGCACTTACACGTCGTAGTTCCTGTCGTTCAGGTTCAAGTCTGTACAGACTGTCCCTTATTCTCTGTCTTTGGACTCGTAACCCTTGTGAAAGCAGGTACCCATCGACAGTTTTGTACCCTTAAGAGCAAAAACAGGATTTGTAGTATCGAAATCGACTTTTATTTAGTCTAATTCGGAACGTTTAGAAGAAGTAGTGAGTCCAATTTGAGAAAAAGTGTATGGTAGTTCGTATGTGGCGATTGGGTCTTAAAACAGGGCATTAGTCTATGATTTCTGGAATTGTTAAAGGAATAATTAGTAAAGTAATCACCCCTAAACAAGATTAATATCTAATCGTGGCATGAGGTTTACTCGACTTATTAAAAAAAATGTTGTTTACAATCAGTGTTTTGTTCACATGTGGAACTTGTACACAGTGTCGTTAACGCTTTACATCGAATCAATCATACTCCTCTGCATCAGTGACATTTTTTTATATTCGTAACGTAGACAATGTAAAACAATGACTCTTTCACGAGGGAAGGGGGATGCAAAAAAATGTTTCTTTCATTTTGATATAACTTCCCAGTAGACCTTTGCACATTTACAAAGTGCTTGGTTGTCTTACGGCTAAAACTCATAAGTTACTTTTCGCCTGTAGCGAATTCGCTCATAGCGAACTAACCTGCTCTAGGCATGTGTCGCAAAACAAAATCAACTCGGCCATCCAGTTCGTCGTCCGGGATGGTGCTGTACAGCCTTCAAATTGACATATTATTCTCAGCCATGCGTCTCTTAATGGTGCTTTCGCTAACACCGAAACACTTTGCTGTTTCCTTCACAGAACAATTCATACTGCCTAGGTTTAACAAAAGGAATAGGACTTTGTTGATGAACAGTTGTACACTTAAAAAGAGTGTTATGTAAACATCCGGGGGTGGGATGGGGTAGGGGAGGTTAGTAATCGTTATACCGTGTATCATCGCCGGAATTGAAAAGTGAGCTCTAAGCATGCTGAAAATTAATATGGCAGTGTAGACTCCCATTCCTCCCGGCACTAATGTCTCGATGTTGAAGTTTTCTGGAGAAACCCACACCTTGTTCCATCACAATATGTGCAATATGCAATTGACGAAGTGCTAAACATTTAGTGTACGAGTCCTAAACATCAATGCCCTGTAGCTCAATGCAATCCATTACCATTATTAACGCGCTTAGCATTTGAACATGTTTACTAAATTGGAGCAAAAATGTTTAGAAAAGTGTTCACGGTCACACACAGTTTTTTGTTTAACGCCGTAGGTATCTATATTTGTGACATATAAAACTATGCCAACTACATGAAAACAGTTAATATGCAATATATATACATATATATATATCGTTTAACTGTGCAATAGACAGATAATAATGCTGTGCGGAACGGTGACCTCAATTCAAGGCCGATTCAAAATGTATTTTTATTGTTTATTTTTGGTGACACATGGGATATGACGTAAGAGCTCGTGCCTGACCCAACTTGTCAAGATAATGTCTTGCAATGTACATGGTATGCCCTAATCGACACCACATTTGACGTACTTTCGTCACTGATTTAAATACTGCTCTAAAATGGCAGGAAGAAAGTGTTACGGACGGCGCCAGTATGGTGTCAGTGGTCGAATGAAAACACTGATGATTTTAAAAGAACTCCAAAGCGGTCACTTTAGTGGGAACATAATACCCCTCCCACCTCGCAAGCGCAAAGTCAAAACAGAGAAAATGATAAACGGGGTTAACACGAGTATCCCTTACCTATGAAAAACCTTAGTTGCTCTTCTGTTATGTCCAACTTTGGACGACCTACGCAACCGGACAAAGAAGCAGCAGGTTGCGTCACTCTCGTTGCCCCGTCTGTGCCTCCGTCATGTCCGTCTGATGAGCGCGCAATGTCTGCTTCTACCGCTTGCCTCGCGGACAGCAAATTGTTTGAGATGAATTCGAAGTCAGGTAGATAGTACCGATAATGCAGAATATCTCTGCACAGAGTATCTAACCGGTACTGTAGATTATCCGTGTAAACAATACCATTCTGAACAGCTGCATGTAGCCTTTCTACCCTGTTTCGAATATTCCGTACAACAGCTTCGTGAGCGTCCATGTTTGATGTCTCATTGCGGGACTATTATGGTTGCACTACACCAAATACGCGCCCACAGGAAACAGTGCAAAATCGGACCGAAATAGCGCCGCCTGTTGCCTCTCGTGAAGAACTTGGCATCACTCCGTTCTTTCATAGGAAAATCAAGATTATGGCAACGCCAGAAAATCACTTTTCACTTGGGGGTTAGCCACGAAAAAAATTCTATTCGCCTTTGAACGAAGAAACCCCCAAATAGCAATAAAACTAAGCACTCGATTCTAAATAGAGCCGTCCGCCACCGTGACAGTATCCGAAATAGGCCCGTAATTTCGGGCTCTTTGTGAGGTGCAATCCAGGCCGAGCTGAACCATGCGGGCCATGCCATTTTTGTCTTTGTGTTCGAGTTCGGAAGGCCTGTTCTTGACACGGGTTTCTTGTTCTCGCGCTCGAACGGCGGGAATATGACTCAAGAACACTGTTCTCGGAACAGGATCACACACCACCTCCTCGTCAGGGTTTTACAGAACACACGGAAAAACTCGTGAGACTTTGATTTTTGAACAGCTGCAAAATGTAAAGAGATGGCTTCCAAAGCCATAGACCATGTAGACAATTGGAAGTTTTGCAAAATTAACATTAATTATTTTCCGTTACACAGAAATTAATTTTAATGATTATATAGAAAAGAATTCAGCCCATCCGAATCTTAACTCTCAAATAACGTACATGGAAGCCGCCATGTTGCATGTTGCTTGTGATAACCGGTTGTTTGTTCCTGGCGTTCGAGCGGACGACCCATGAACAACAAATCGAGCTGTTCGTAACATACGGGAACAAGGCGCCCGAACTCAACCATCATTTACGAAAAACGCCCTCAGCGTTCAGGAATACTTAGTCCTTTTGAGTTTGTTCGTAGCTTGTGAAGTTTCTACTTTGCCACACTTTT